CTGCCCATCACATTCCTTTGGGTGGCTTTACAGTACTTGTTCCTTGGCTCAGCTGACCTTTTCACATTGGCTGGAATGATGGAATTCTTCTTCACAGAAGCTCCAATGAGCATGAGATCTTTGGCCACAGCTCTCTCTTGGGCATCTCTAGCCATGGGATATTATCTTAGCTCAGTGCTTGTGTCCATCGTCAATGACGTCACCGGGGCGTATAGGCACACACCATGGCTATTTGGCGACAACTTGAATCATTATCACCTTGAGAGGTTTTACTGGTTGATGTGTGTCTTAAGTGGATTGAATTTTTTGTACTATCTCTTATGGGCCAGCCTCTACAAATACAGATCAACAGGATCTGATTTCAAGGAAAATCAAAACCCAACAACCCTCTAAGAATTAAACAGAGGTCCACCTTTCCCTTCCTTTCCAAGAATCACCCGATCATATGCCCATTCCATTATATATGAATATATGTGTGTGTTTGGAACCATTATGAGCTATATCAATCATGCAAATGTACTGTTTTATTGGTTATTCATTTAGTTGTCTTTAAGGTACCAAGATGGGGTGCCAAGGAAACAGAAACAGTCTAAACAAACCAACGAAATTAACTTACATGAAACCCAACAAAGAAACCAGCTTACAAGAAAAACCGAAAACACTGCAACTGGTTCATTGCTCAGGATTAGAAGCTTAACTAGTCAAACAGATAAAAAAGAAACAACGAATTATTGGAGAATGAAGCTGATTTTTCTTAAAACTGATGATGATGATGATGATAGCATCAGTCTACTACAGCCAGACGTTGATACTGCGAGCAAGAGATGTCTTTTTCCATGAGATGATGGGGGCCAATTTCCCCATCATTCTCCAAGAAGCACTTGACCAAATTATAGGAGAAGCCACTCAACCTCGCCACACCTTGTTCTGTAGCATGCGCCACTGGTATAGGCATGTCGTTGTCATTCAGATTCCAAAACAGTATGCGTGGCACCACATCACCATTCCCTTTCTCCTTGAACTTTCTCTGTATCGCCTCATAGTCAGTCTCCCAGCTATTGAAAGAAGCATCATCAAAGTCTTGGTCGCTGGTGAACACAAAGAGCCTCTTGATCATTTGCTCTGGCTTCAAATTCCCATTCACAGCCACTTGAAGAATTAAATCAAACACCTTCTGAAAATCAGTATCGCCGTCCCAATGCTGGTTATCCATCGTCCTCATAAATGTGTACTTGGACTTTAGATCACTGCCTTGTATTGAATGTAGCTGAGGATTTCGACTAAAAGTGATCACCTTTCCTTTCCATGGCTCTTCACCCAATTCAGAGACCAACAGTCCCAAGGAGATTGACATATCCATGGGATATCCACTCATCCTTGCTGAGACGTCACATACAGCCAAGCAATTCTTGAACTTTCCCTGCTTTAAATAGATTTTCTCAACCATTGCCTTCCACTGATGCTCAACCAGTTGCCCGAAATTTTTATCACTCACGTAGCCTATGATATCACGTGGAAGAATAGCACTTACATTGATCTTAGACTCTCCACCAGCTTTGACATCATTCAAATACTTCTCAATCGGACATGAGTGCTGCTTTCTTGGAAACATATCTTCAAAGCCTTCGTCCATGGCCTTCCTCAAGGGCTCCAAAACCTCCTTCATCAGCCTCTCTCGGACCCTGGACGCGTAATCAGCCTCCTCCTCCTCCTCAGCACAACCGCCTTGCGAGCATTGCTCTCGCGGGAAAACCTTCTTCGCAATGCTCTCGCAGAGCGCGGTCGAAAAAGGAATCCACGGAAGGGCACCACCTCGATGCATATGTTAATCCCAACTTCAAGGAGTGCTTAGGATCATTGACATTGTCCTTTTCCTGCTGCTCAAATTTCTTCAAGTTTTTGATATCATACTTCAAGCACTCAGTGTAAATATCCGAAACCCGCTCATGTAGAAACTGATAATCTTGGTCACCATCGTACATCTCAACAGCTTTCTTGGCCATGGCGATGATCTTCTTTCTCTTCTTGCTACTAGTACGCCTCCCGCTGCCTACTGTATCAAGTCATCATAATAATACAGCAGGTTTTGCATCCTCTTTATCCTCTTCCTCTTGTAGTTGGCATCATCCCGGCCTTCTAGAACCCCGTACAGAACCTCGAGAAGGGATCTGAAACGCCCCAACGACCCAGCAATTGGCAGGAGGTCGTGAGCTAGGGTCTTGGGGTGGTTCTGGTGGAGCCAAAGCGCCGCCGTGTAGAACAATTCTTCGAGGTGGCAGTTTCTGCTAGTAGCTTGCAGATGAGCTTGAGGGTGGTTCAGGAATTGTGCGACCAGTCCAGCGGGAGCAGTTGTTTCAGATAGCTACCGGAGTCCGGGGTGCCTGGCAGGACGTGGAAATAGAGATCAAGGCAGGGGTTACCGTAGGAGCAGGGGATCTTGGTCCCATGGCTAAGACTGGAAGCAGCTTTCAATACTAATTGGGGTTGTGGTGGTTGTAGTGGCGGCAGCGGCGGCGATAAAGATTTGAGCTCTGGAGGACCAACAAGAGTTGTAGGAGCCCTTCTTGTGAGTTGTGAAGTATTGGCCATATAGTTTTGGCATGCATTGAGAACACAGAGCGTTTGCACTTGCCCTCGTTTCATGGTATCAGTGGCGGTGGCTGATTTTCTCAGTCAACTTGTTGCAGAGGAGAAATAAAGACGAGTGCAGATAAACATATTTTGAGAGGAGAGGTCTCTTTCAATCTGCTTTTCCTTGGGCACAAAGTATTTTCTTACTTGGGCTTCAAGCAATATAATTATATTTTTTTCTTCAACGAGTCTGTACAAAAATAATATAAAATTAAAAACATCAGTGCTCGAAAGGAGTATATATAGGAATGTTTTGGGGGATTTGGGCAATCAAAACTTCATTGCCAGAAGTAAATATAGCAATTGAAAACATATGTCAAAATCTGAAAAATTAAATTCAACATAAATTAATTTTTGCATTTTGAAATACCCACAAAAATTCCAGCGGCGGGTCGGAGTTGCGGTAGTGGTGGTGGTGACCAACAAGAGTGATAGGAGCAGAAAGAAAATTCTAATTTCAAAAGTTCCATATTTGAATAGAAAATGATTTGTGCAGAAAGCAAAATATAAAACAGGACAGACACATTATCATATCATTAAATAAGTCAATTCAAGTTTCTTTTCATAAAATCCCAAATGCCAAAGGAGAAGGAGACTGCAATCATATGAGGATCAGTCAACTACAGCCAGGTTTTGATAATAATTGCCAGAGATGGCTGCTTCCATAACATGATCGGGGCTGACATCCCCATCATTGTCCAAGAAGCAATTGACCAAGTTCTTGGAGTAGCCAGTCATCCTGGCCACCCCTTGTTCTGCAGAATAGGCCACCGGGATAGCCTCGTCTTCGTTCATATCCCAAAACACTACGCGTGGCACCACATCGCCATATCCTTTCTCCTTAAACTTGCTCTGTATTGTCTGATAATCAGTCTTCCAGCTATTTGCGGAAGCATCATCAAAATCTTGGTCACTGGTGAACACATACAACCTCTTGATCATTTGCTCTGGCTTCAAGTTCCCCTTCACAGCCACTTCCAGGATCAAATCAAACACCTTGTTAAAATCAGTCTCCCCGTCCCAGTCCTGGTTGTCCATCCTCCTCATAAACGCGCACTTGGACTTAAGATCATCGCCTTGTATCAAAAGTAGCTGAGGATTTCGACTAAAAGTGAAGACCTTTCCTTTCCATGGCTCTTCACTCAGCTCAGACACCAACAGTCCCAAACCCAATGAAAAATTCATGGGATCCCAAGACATCCTTCCAGAGACGTCACACACAGCTAAGCAGTTCTTGAACTTTCCCCGCTTTGAATACATCTCCTCCACCATTGCCTTCCACTGAGCCTCAGCCAGTTCCCCGAAATTGCGGTCATTCACATAGCCTATGATCTGATGTGGAAGCATAGCACCTGCTTCAATCTTTTTTGAGTTGACACACATCAAATACTTCTTCACCCGAGGCTCCTCTCCCCTTCTTACATAGGGTACATATTTTTTCTTCATAACCTTCTTTAATGACTTTCCTCAAGGGCTCCAAAACTTCATTCATCAGCCGCTCTCGAACTCTTGACACGTAATCCGCCTCCTCCTCCTGAACAGAATTACCTTTCTTGCATTCCTCTTGCGGGAAAAGCTTCCTTGCAATGGTCTCACAAAGCAACGTGGAGCGATCAAAGAAGGAATCGACAGAAGGGCACCACTTGGCTGCCATGGTTAACTTCAACTCCAAATTTAACTTGTCAGGACCATTGACATTTTCCATCTTCTGCTTCTCATATTTCTTCAAATTCTGAATATCAGACTTCAAGCATTCAGCGTAAAGATCCGAAACCCGCTCGTGTAACAGTTGATAATCCGGATCACTTTCATACATCTCAACAGCCTTCCTTGCCATGTCGATCATCTTCTTTCTCGTATTATTACTAATATCTGCCCCGCTGCCTACTTTCTTCTGTATCACGTCCTCCTCGTAAACAAACCACAAATTCCGACTCCGACTCCTCCTCTTCCTCACGGCATTGACATCTAGAATCCCATAGAGAACCTCCAGAATGTCTTTGAAATCCCCCAATGCCCCAGCAATAGGCACCACGTTGCATGCTAGGGTCTTGGGGTGGTTCTGGAAGAGCCAAGACGCCGCCGTGTAAAACAATTCTTTCTCTTGGAAGCGTAGTAGGCTACAGATGAGCTTAAGGGTGGTTAGGGGATTGCGGGACCAGGCGAGTGGGAGCAGTTGCTTCAGATGTCTATGAGTTTTGTCGTTGAAATAGATTGCATGGCAGGGGTTACCAAAGGAGCGGTAATTATCCTTGGTGGTGGATGGGACGGAAGCAAGTTGGTATAGTAATTGGAATTGTGGTGGTGGTGGTGATGAGGTTACTGGTTGTTTGAGCTCTGGAGGGCCAACAAGAGTTGTAGGAGCAGCCATTCTCGTGAGGTTTGAAATATTACTGCCCACATAGCTTTGGCATGCTTTGAGAACAGAGAGGAGTTGAACTTGCCCTGGCTTCATGACCATCAAATTGGATAGTGCCAATCTGAATTTGTTGCAGAGGAGAAATGAAATGCCTGTTCTTATTTTGGATAATAATATAGGATCCCTCCTGCTTTTGCTTGGGAAGCAAGGATTTTATTTGAGACCCAAGCAATTTCCTTGGATGTATATCTCTGCATGCATCTCGGCCATTTAATTTCAATATCATCTTTGTTGGTATAAAATCTGATCCCGGCCAATCAAAAAAAGATCAATCACTCAAATAAAATCGTGTAATTAGTTAAATCAGGGGAAGAGAATATATAAATCAACGTATAAGATGAAAACTATTCCAATTCAAATGATTACTTTTGGGTTTAATTATTCTAACTACTTTCTTTTCTTTTTCCTATTTCTTCCTCTTTCCTTTTCTTTATAATTCAAAAATAAATAGAGTCTTGTCCATCCTAGTTAAGCTTTTTACCAATTATTTCTCAATGGCAATTTAAATTTTAATTGTATCCGAAATAAATTTTAGATAGGGCTAGGATTCTTTTGTTTTTTTATTTTCTCCCTCTATTTAACTATCAAAACCAGTCCCATAAACCCTAATCTATAGCAAAGCACAAGTTAATGTCATGCTGATACTCACAATCCAAGCTCAGATACCTGCTTTTCAAAGACCACCAACAGTCCATGCCACCAAGTTGATGGTGAGAAAACAGTGAGGGATTCGAAGACAACAAGCAGCTGTCAATGGGAATTTGGGATTTACAGGACCAAAATTCCTGCAGCAGCAAGTCCAGTTACAAACATGTTACTTCTCTCTCTAAAGAAATGTTACCTCAAGCAAAAATTCAAATCAAAAGCACTAGCAGTATAAAGAAGGAACTATTTAAATTTGCACATACAGACCCAACCTGCCTAAACAAAACACACCTCCTTCATTTGTTTTGTGTCCAACACCCGACGCACTCGCTCTTCCTGCACCAATTTACAGTAATGCTGCCTTGTTCAACAAGCAGTCACCATTAACAATACTAATTAGCTTTCACTAACAAATACATCAAAATTTACATTCATCCAAGTCCAGCAACAAACAAACACAACCATTCCAAAATTTTCCTTGATGCATTGCTAAACCAACAATTTCAAAACATTTATTAGTTCCCTTCTCCAATTTAGTATATATGACATACATAATTAAAAGGCTATCCAATCCAAGACAATTATAAAGAAACAGATCTTCTTCTTCTGTTTTCTTTTTCCCTTTTTTTTCTTCCTCTTTTTGTGGGAAACTCAATCGGCTTCTTGCAAGCCATCCAAGACAACTGACCCAACTAACAAGCCAGCAGCGCCAGCCCCAAGCGTACCAGCCACCACAGCCTGCACGGCCACCAGCGCCCCTGAGTCATCCGGTATCAGCACGATGGCCGCCACCGCCGCCACCAGAATCGGCAGTGCCGCCGATGCCAAGGCGGAGGGGGAGAAGCCTGCAGCTTTCTCGAGCAGGCTGAGCAGCCCAAGCTCCTCGGCCTTCGAAAGCAGCCCCAATTTCTCAATCGACGTGAGGGTCAGCCCAAGCTCCTCTGCCTTGGTTAAAAGCCCAGCCTTTTCAACTTTGCTGAGGACCTTCTGCTTCTCCAGCTTCTTGAAGACGTCCACTTCAACTTCCTCCGCCCCTTCGTAGAAGATTCCGGCTCCGTACCACTTCTTCTGCCAGCCTCCGTCGAGCTTGTTCACCTGGGTATTTATGCAATTAACGTTTTCTCAGCAACCAAACAAATGGGTATTTAAAGAATTGCACTTTCTCCGCAGCCAAACAGAAGTAGAATAGAGTAGACGTACCTTCTTTTGGGGTGCCATGGAAACAATAGTTAAAGGTCTTGATTTGGAGGGGGAGTTGCAGGGACGGCCAGAGATGCAATGGTAGTGAGATTTGGAGGAGAGGAAAGTGCTGGTGTGGCTGAGATTTCCATAGATATTACAAGTAGCTGAAGATGTTGCAGTAGAGGCAGCCATGGATGATGTGTCTCGAAGCTCTGGCTCTCTCTGTGTTTTGAGAGTGTCTGTGCTTGTGGACTGCCACGTGGGATGCCAGAGAGAAAGAGAAAGAGAGAGAAGGGAAGAAGCGGGTTTGTTTGTATGTGTACCCAAAATCTAACGTCGCTGTATACCCGCCAATCAAATTTGATGAAAGGTGATAGCTTTATCTTTCCCAAATTCCAATTAATTACAAAAGAAATGTTTTTAATTTTATTCCAAAACAAGATGGACAAATATGGGTGATCCAAGCCCAACCCATTTAATAAGGCTATTTAAACTTGAAGCTAAGCCCAAGACTAAGGGTGATCTAAGCCCAACCCATTTAATAAGGCTACTTACACTTGAAGCTAGGCCCAAGACTAAGCCACTGTTTATTTGTCATGGCCTATTATGAAAGAACCGAATTTCTATAAGAGAACTTCCACTGCAGAGTCCAGTCTGGGCAAAAGGCCCCGTAGGTTAAAGAAACCCACTTCATCGCACAAATCCAGCTCCGGCAGATGGTGGGTTCCAAGAAACACTAGGCAGGCCCGAAGGTAAGAACAATTCGAGTTGTTGCCTAAGGGCGCTGACGTCAGTGAAGAAATTTTTGCTATGGGAGACTTTGGAAAAGACCAAAAGAGAGAGAAATTTTTTAAAAGAAGCCAAAATGGATAAAATTACCCTTATTTATTTTTGGATTTCTGAAGGAATCTTTTATATTTGCATGTCTTTTGTTTGAAAATTGAGAGGTTTTTTTGTCTTTTTTGAAAAAGTTTTGGCTTTCTCAAAAAGTAAAACTTTTTGTGTGGCTAAAATTTAAATTTACTTTGCTAAAACTATTCACATAAATAGTGAGGAGGCTATGTTAAAGAGGTGTTGACGGATTCAATCCATCTGTCCGATAACAACTATACAATTGATTTTTTGTAATCATATAATATACAATTAAAAATAGTCTTATTATAACCCCTGGTTATAACCTATTTTCCACTAGAATGATGTATTCATGAAATGACTTCTTCACTAACCTCGTATATTTCGTGGAAATTTATGCATGTGAAGACAAATAAGAAGATATATATGTTGTGATCTTATCTTTAGATTTTGTACATGTCTTGTTTTTATTTAAAAGTTACCTAAGCTCTCTACGACAACCTTTTAAACTGAATATTATATGCCTAGTCCTAGTCTTTGGAGATTGCTAATTGATAAAATTTCACTTTCAAATGAACTTCTTCAGATTATCTAATTCTATCACTAACCAGCCTCTGCTCTATCTAATGATATTTTTCTCAATTTTAGTCCTAATCTAATTCTATCACACCCTCTTTCATTTTCCTACGTTGCTCTTGTTTCGGCCCTTCTTAAATTAACGTTTAAGGAGAAGATGACTTGATTGTCCTCAATGAAAACCCAAACAAGCTTGAATTTTGTGATAAGTTCTAATCTTATTTCGTAATTAAAAGACCAGAAAAGCATGCGTGGATCCATAGTGTACATGCTCAAAGCAAATTCATAAGTGAGTTATAATTTGCAGTGTGAAAAAGTCATCAGGCACTCTTTTAAGTGTCGTTTTTCTTTTTCAATAAAGAAGTGCATGATGACTTTTTTGGAGTACAAATAATATTTTTCGTTTGTAAGTGTGATAGTATACTATAGATTTTGGTTTTCAAACACATACAATCTTGAAAATGATAAATTCAACTTGCATCATCCTACCTACATATGATAGAAGAGATTCAACATAATTATGAACCTCTCCTCAGTTGTAACTTGAAAAACTTGTAGTTAAACAAATAGGAAACCTTGGCGTCAAAGAAAAACATAATGGTTGACCGGGCCCAATCAAACGTGGCCGTTAACTTTTCGGACCCACTTGTGAATTGTAATCTGATGTGTAATTAGGAAAAGGGACGTGGCGATTTGTGAGCTGTGTTTTGAAAGTTTACGTGGGCATTGTCATCACCGTCACCGAATTAATAACACTGGCGCGAAACGACGACGTTAGCAGGTTTGTTATCGAAACTATTGGCAAATTGCCAATTGGTCCTTTGCTTGACGAAATATTTGGTCTCCTGAAATTCACACAATCTGTTTGCTCCGATGGAAAACTCAAAGCATCTCACTTTCCCCGGTTGGTATTCAAAAGCGTAGTTCTCATCTTCGTCATATTGAAGGGGCAACTAAAATTCCTGAAGAAATTGCAGAGAAGGTACGTTCACGTCTCTTTCATTGCAAGTTTCAATCTTGGTTATGGGGATTCTTTGCAATTTCCATGTAGTTAAGCATTTATTATAGCAAAACTATTCGCTTTTTGCATTTTCTGCATATCTTCCTGACCAAGTTCTGGTTTTTTCCCGGCATATCTATTTTGTTTATTGAATTACAATATGGGTATCGGATAATGTAATCTGTGGAATGGTAATAATTGATTTCAGATAAAAAAAGTTTATATTTTTGGGTAAAAAGAAACAAATGCAGCAAACCCAGATGTCATTTTCTTGGTTAAGACGGCAAAGCTCTCTGAGCTGTTAGCTGTCACAATCCCATTTTAGAAATGGTTTGGTCGAATTGTATTCATTTGATAAAATGTCTGTTCTTGTTCTTTTATTCTGTATACTAAACTGTATTGGTTGTATCTTGATGAATACTATGTACTGCTACCCTTGACGATGTTTTTGAGGCTTCTTCTGCACTAAACTAGTTTATCTGTATAATTATATTTAGGAATTTACAATTTGTTTTTCTGTTCTTCTTATTGGTTTTTGCATTTAATTGTGTATAGTTGTACGAAGTCTTTGTGGCGGTTTGTTGTCACAGGTCATAGGATTAAGTTCCCTTTGGGTATCCAATCTGTTGACTTTCGATTTTTCCGTTGTGCCAGAGTGGTAAAGCCTGAAACTTGTATTAGTATACGCATAAAATGGAATCATAAAAAGAAAAAAAAAAATTATGAGTTATTTTTATAATATTTTACTGTGTAAGTTTGTGGACTGTAGCCTTCTTCGAGAGTTTTACAAGTTATCGTCTTTTGAGTCTATATAAATCTCAACTTGTTTGGGTCGTCTCATTCCTATCTTCTTCCCTTTCTCTCTTGTCCGCTCTTCTGTTATACTAACTGTAAGTCTCTCTCTCTCTCTCTCTCTCTCTCTCTCTCTCTTTCCCTCTCCCTTCCTTCCCTTCCCCTCTCTCTCTCCTTCCTCTATCTATCTCTCTCTCTCTCTCTCTCTCTCTCTCTCTCTCTCTCTCTCGGGGAGAAATATACATAGCGAACAAATAGCTCTGCGGGGTGTATGTGTTCTTGTTCTTGGCTCTTTTTAATCCGTTATGCTTCTAGCAAAAACCTGTTTTTACTTACTTGGAATCTTGGATGGTGTTATGAAAGATCAATTTGAACTTGTGATTTGAACTTGTGTCTATTTTGCATTCAATCCCGAGTTGTATTTTCTCTCTGCTTTGCTTGACATACGAATTTTAAATCACTCTCTTTCATGCCTGCACGCATACAGGGATATAAACAATAGTTTAATTGCCATAGATGAATTGAACTTTGAAGATGATGTTCTCGGTATGGACTATGAGTCTTGAACACGTGATCTGAATAGTTTCTAATGAATGAATCATTGTGAGATTATTTGATGAACTCTGTGTACGAATATATCTAATGCCATGGACATGCTAAAATCATGATTGTTACTATTTAATCCTCTTTTTAAATTTCCTAAAAATTGTTTATTTCTGGAAAATTCCTTATTTGCATCTATGTTTCGTGAAGGTACAAATAGTGAAGAGAACATGGGTAATCTTTTCTGTTGTGTACAAGTTGATCAATCCAAAGTAGCTATAAAGGAAAAATTTGGTAGGTTTGTGGAAGTTCTTGAGCCAGGATGCCATTGCCTCCCTTGGTTTCTTGGGCATCAGATTGCTGGTCATCTCTCTCTTCGTTTGCAGCAATTGGATGTGCGCTGTGAGACCAAGACAAAGGTTTCTCAATTTTCATAAGTAGACTTAATCCATATAATAGTGGTCATTACATGTCTTTTAATTGAATATCTAATACTTTCGTTCTCCAAAGTTCTCTTACAAGCAAAAAATTGCCCATCTCATTTTGTCATCTAGGCTAGTGCCTCAGTTTGTATGCATTTTTCACACATGAATCTAAGTAGAGGGAGCATATACTCTTTTCTAAATTTGTAAGTGTTCACATCAGTGCATGCTTAAGCCGAGTATGCTAATGATTTTTTTAAAATCAATATAGAGCAATAATGGGAAAGGAATTGAGATGAAAAAGTCTTTATATTAAAATATCTTGCACTTTACTGTTTATTTACTGCATGTTCTCTATATGCGCCTCTTTAATACGTTGATTTATATGTTCTTTAGGACAACGTATTTGTCAACGTCGTTGCATCTATTCAATATCGTGCTCTGGCAGACAAAGCAGATGATGCCTTCTACAAACTCACCAACACAAGGTCTCAAATCCAGGCCTATGTTTTTGATGGTATAAACTAAATATCCTTCTTAATGAATTAGAGATATGCAATTGTTTTTTTACAAGTGTTTTTAGCTTTTTTCCCATCACAAGTATTTTTCACTAATTGAGTTTGCTTTTTTCATTTTGTTAGTGATTAGAGCTAGTGTTCCAAAGCTCAACCTGGATGCTGCCTTTGAGCAAAAGAATGAAATTGCAAAAGCTGTGGAAGAAGAGCTCGAGAAAGTAATGTGGCAAAACAGAAGTAATATAATGCTATGCACTCTAAATATAACTTGATTCTAACCATGTTACTCTTTCTCCGTTGCAGGCTATGTCTGCTTATGGTTATGAGATTGTACAAACGCTCATTGTTGACATAGAACCAGATGAGCATGTGAAACGGGCAATGAACGAAATCAATGCTGGTATAAGTCATATCTGTGATGATTATCATATTCCTTTTAACTTGTGTTATTGTATTGCACTGGTGGTCTGTTCAGTTTCAATTATTTTACCATTTCTTCTGTGTATTTTTCAGCTGCAAGAATGCGCGTGGCAGCTAATGAGAAGGCAGAGGCAGAGAAGATTTTGCAAATTAAGCGGGCTGAGGGTGAGGCCGAGTCCAAGTATCTCTCTGGGCTGGGTATAGCTCGCCAGCGTCAAGCAATTGTAGATGGTTTGAGAGACAGTGTGCTGGGCTTCTCTGTCAATGTTCCAGGGACTACTGCAAAGGATGTCATGGACATGGTCCTTGTGACTCAGTATTTTGACACCATGAAGGAAATTGGCGCTTCCTCTAAATCCTCTGCCGTGTTTATTCCCCATGGACCTGGTTCTGTCCGTGATGTAGCTTCTCAGATTCGTGATGGACTTCTTCAGGGTTCTCACCAGTAGTTCGGAACTTCTACAAGTTTTTCATTTCTTATCTGCAAGTCTTTTTTTTGCTTCATCCCAAGGTGTTCTGTTTGCTATAGTTTTGTTTCATGGTTTCATTTAATTGTTCAATACTGCCACTGTATACTTGTGGTGAGCATATAATGATCGTATACAATGAGTGAATTCTTCTTGCTTGAACTTGATTCTTGTACAGTTTCACCTTTTAAGTGTGTAGACGACTGAAAAGTGTATGAATTTCTTCACAAAAAAGAATCCTATTTGTTCATTATCTTTCTCCAAATAAGCTTCACTGTATTAGTTTATTAGATATATGAAGAATTCTCTCACTTGGCAGAGTTAATCTTCTTAAATGTGATGGTTATTGGCCATGGATACGTGTGTAGCTTGAGGTAACCCAAAGCAGTTTCAGAAGAAACAAAAGAAAAAGAAAAGAAGTACAAGTTTCTACCAAGGAAAATGTATATGAAGCCAGCTACGTGGGTTCCTAGCCTTTCTTTTTCGGAGTCTGTCCTGAACGTAATTAAAAGTGAAATTAAATAACCAAACATCTAATCCTCCTTGTATTAAGCAAGGCTTTGGCATAACCCATAACCATCCTGAAATAGAAAGAATATTTCTTCCCAGTATACAGTACTGAATTTCATCGGATTTTATACATTTCCCCCTTCATTTTCTCCACTATTGACCTCATAAAAACTAATACAAAACCAAAAATAATCAGAACATGATAATAACAATTTGCAGCACCAGCAAAAGTTGCTTCCAAATGGTATTCCTTTAGAGCCTAACAGCCAGAGATAGTCCAATTTTTGGACTCTTGTTCATGCCTACAAAATCCACCTCTCCAGATATAGACATAAAGATCTTTTGCCAGAATCCTTGCTGTATAACAACACCAACGCTGCCGTGCGTGCTAACTCGAGCCTTCGCCAGCGTAGAGGGCAAAAATGCATGCCGGGCACCGACGGCGAGGGCAGTATCATTTGTTGAAAAGCTATGTTTCAACTCTGCTCCAAGGGCTGTGTTGGTCAGGGGGTTCACCATGTGGTACCATGAAGCTTTTAAAGTATCAAGCTTGTCCCTGCATAATTTAAAGTGTTATGTTCATGTCAACAAACTTATGCACTATTTCCTTTTCTCCAAGTTCTCACAGGATTGCTCACAAGGACAAGGAAACGGTAGCAAAGGCACTATTGAAGCTCAAACCGGCGTTATTGTCAAATGCCCCCGTAGCTATGTCAACGGCAAGGTCAGCTCCAATGGTGAACAGAGAACTGCCTCCTATGCCTACCACACCAGAGAAGTTTGCAACTGGATCATATGTATTGGAGGAATTTCGTATCAGTCCCATTCCTCCAGCAATCCCAGCAAAAGGGCTTTCGTATTGCAGCTCCACCTGTTACCACAATGATCTGTTGATCTTAGAGTGAGGCCTTGTGTAATTTATCACTCATCAAACTTATTAATGGTTTCAAACAACAAGTTGAAAAGTAGCTCAGATGGAAAATTGATGGAAATTCTTACCCGGCCATAATCTGGTATGGTAAAACTGAAGAGGGTGCTGAGGCCAGGAGCAATCAGTTTAACTGCAGAAGTCACAGAAACCAGCAAACCATGCTAAACTATGAGTCCCAGCTCAGTTTTATCATCACCATTGCTCAACAATACTTGACAGATTTAATATTGTAATATAGTGAAGAAGCAACAGATTTGAATTAACCTTTGCATGAAACATCACTGCTCCAGTTGAGGCTTCGATAATCAAACCGCACGGGCGGTTGATAAGCAAAATCCTTGTAGAGAAGATCTGATCAAAAGTAAGAGAACATGTATGAGTAGAGAAAGATCAAAAGAAAAGGACACAAAGAGAGAAGAAGATGGGTGTGTAGAGTGTCTAAAACCTCTGGCCTCCTTGCCAATGTTGAAGGAGGCACCTGGAGTGTTACTCATTTGTTGCTAAACCAACTGGGATCAAGCTTAATTAAAAAAAATCTTTGATTAATTGGTAGAATGTATAATTATGGTGTATAAGGTGGCTTGGGAATTTATTGAGAACTCAATTAGGATGGCACCAAAGAAGGAAGAGGAAGTTTCCTTATTGTTGACAAACTAATACTAAACTAGAGAGTACAATGTGGGACAAGAGTGAAAATTCTCTGCGTTGGATTTTTTCCCATGAAAGGTTGTAGTCACCTTGTTGATGCTTCAAGGATGCAGGACTTCAAATAGGCAAGGAATTCAATAGCTGAAAAAGAAAGAAAGAAAAAAAGAAGAAGGTGGAAATTAACAATTATATTTGTAGTGTCAAGGGCTCAAGGTGATTATCTTGCTAGTGGGTTTTTAGATTAGGGAATTTTCATTTTCTGTGTTGTTTAGATTAGCATTCATCTTTTGGACCAACCCTTACTTTTGGATTTGTTTATATCAAAACCAAATTAGGTAACATAATTGATGAATTCATTGCTATTTACATGGGAAATGAATCAGTGGTACAATTATTTGAAAGACACAAAAACAAAAGTGCCTTGAAAATTTTGAAGTATTTGCAATTCCGATTACAAAAGTCTAAATGGGAAGCAGTTGTGGCAGCAGCGGCTTCACTTGGATTTCTTGTTTCTTTGACTATAAGGCCTAGCTTTTGCCTGAGTTTTGCAGGATCCTTTTTATCTTGAGGGTTCTTTTTCTTGAGAAATTTTTGTATGTTTCGGGTGCACTAGCTAGTTGGTGTACCACACAATACGCATGGGACAAGCTGGTGTACTCGGAATATTCAAAAATCACTCATTTCTCTTCTCCTTTTTAACATCATCAGCTCCATCCTCGTTATCTCTTTACCTTTGTTCTGCTTCTCTTTTTTTGGTCTTCATGTAAATGGCTGGTAACAACGGCACAAAATAATTATAATAATAATGAAATACATATATTTATCCATGCTCAATATGAGGAAGAGAGAGTTTAATTAACAAACATAGAAACAAACATCATGATGAAATATGCGAATGCAATTTTATACGTTAGAAAGCAATTTCAGTGTTCATACTTTTCCGCGGCATCATTACAGAAAGCTCTGCACTGCCATCCAAATGTTCTTTTCAAGTCTACCAACACTCTTTTTTTTTTCCTCCTCCCATTGCCTTTCTCCTATATCAAGGTTTCAATAGTCAGTCAATCAATTCAACAAACCACAAAAAACAGAACATGATGACAACTTGCCACTTTCCCCACTCACTTTTTCACTCTTTATTTTGAAGGACCTCTTTTTTCAACTCAACACAGTTGTTTTCATCGCAATTTCAAATTTTTGTCACCCTCTGATTAATTTAGCACCTAAGTAACAAAATGTTGCCATATATTATATCTACCACTCTTCCTTCCCGCTTTTCCTCTACATTAACCGGTCCGACAAGCTTGGCAGCCTCCGGAAGAAGTTCAGGCTAGCCGGCGGCATGTGCTCTCGGAACATGGGGTGGCGCAGATAGTAAAATCCCAAGGCCACAGCAACCATTTTTGGTGGCACTGCATACAAAACCACAGTGATTGCTAGGCACACTCCGATGAACAGTTTTGTGGCTCTTGGGTCTCTCCAGCTCACCAAGGCTTGGGCCCGCTCCCCCTGTGTCGCAAAATCACCCAAAACTGTTTGGACCCGGGCTGCCAACATCCGTAACCGATCATACCGAACCCGGATGACATCGTGTGGCCTTGAGCTTGGGATTGTATCAAACTCCTCATCAAGTTCATCTGGATCAACCGTATCCGCTTGAGAGAGCCGGATATCCATCCCGGCTGGGATCTTGGGCCTGAACCGGTAATACCAAACACCAATTAAGAACACGTATAGAAACCCGGTTGGGACAATCAAATCCGGGTACCAAACAAGAACCAAATACAGCACATGGACCAAAACCGTGGTAACCGGGTTTCTCCATCTTCTAATATCATCAGACCATTTTGCCAACCCGACCAACCATGCAAGCACAGCCACAATCCGAAACCAATTCGCTTTGCTTTTTCTCATGCTCCATGAATGCGAATCCGCATCCAACATGTACCGCACCACCTCGGACCCCAAAGGCGGCTCTGAGCGCGCGAGCCACGCTGACACCATGCGAGTGGCTGCACCGCGCAATGCCTCCTGTTGAGCCACCCCAAGGGGGCGGAGATAGTGCATTCTAGGAAGCAATGGTTGTCCGTAGACCGCGCACGTCTCGGGCAGCAACGACGGGCAGGCAAACCGAACCGCCAACTCGATTTCACCCATTTTCTTCAACCCAGTTCTCAACAGCACCAGCAGCGGGTATGAGTTCGTATACACCTTGTTGCTCTCCAGAGTAGATATACGTATTCGTATTTTGCCTATACGGCAGTCTGGTTTGTCCTCCCCCGGGCCAGCAAACATGCGCCAGTTGTCAAACACTCCTATGGTGAGGACGGTGCAGGGGTCATAGACCTGCCACGTGTACTGCTCGTTCCAGCGCGGGTCAAAGCTATCAGTGATGGTCCGAGTCCGGACCCACTTTTTCCCGTACTTGGCCACACAGTAAGCGTCCGTAGAGCCTTTCCCACCTGATTTGGCTTTCATGGGAAGCAAGCCGCGAGCGCCGAGAATCCCCAGCTCCAAAATGCCAACAGCCGGCTTCCACAGCTGCTTAGCTGTGGGCCGAAAGTCACTGCACACGTGCGCCGCTTCGTCCAGCACGTGATACCCTCCCTCCAAGCAGAGCCGTAGATGGATTCTGCCGCAGTATGGCTCGCTCCTGCGGCACTCCAGCCCGTTTCCTTGGCACTCCAGCCCGAACCACTTGGACGCCACGTAGCGCTCGTCGATTCGCTGCTCGATCGAGCTCACCGGAATTACGACGTGGCCGAGGAGCGCGGCGTCCTTATTGGTGCGGTCCTCGACGAGTAAGATCAACGAGTCCTCGAGAGGCTCCCCTGCGACGAAGATGAGGTCCTCGTTCCAGTGAAACGACGCGCTGTGGTTGTTCATGGATCCGCGCCTGGTTCTAGCTGATTGTGGCCCCAGTTGAGCTTTGACTCGGATCTCGGGAGCCGTTAATGGAGGCAAATTCGATGGAATGTGAAGGTCCTGAGCTTCCATAATCGTCAATCTCAGATACCAGAGCTTCGGCGATTGGTAAACTTTGGAACGCGTGTGAGCCACGAATGGCGCGTCGGAGCTCCACGCTTCCGGGAAGGCATCGTCGGCTTGGGTCCCTATCCAAACAGAGAGCTGGATTTCCCCGGTGATTCGGCCGGAGTTCTGATCTCCGTCTAGAGAACACCATTGCGGAGCCAAGGGACTGTCGGGAGGGTCTCGAACCAGCACATCGGCGAGGTTGAAGCGAATGCCGCCTAAGAACTTGTCGCACGGAGAGTCGAGAACGACGATCTCCAGCTCCGAGCTCACTGAGTCAGGCCGGTTGTGTGCGAGCGCGAACACCTGGTTCCACTCGGGCGAGTCCGTCGGCTCGCCGGGCCTGTGAACCGCCGCCTTCGACCTCACCATGTGGGTCGATGTACGGACCCTCACGTAGGGGCTCTCGTTCGGAGCCAGGCCTCGAGCCTTGACTATTCTGATGAACAAATACTGCATCGGCTCGACGAGATCGCGGGGGTGGATTCTCTCCGTCTCCGGCCCGGCGAACTTGCCGGAAATCACTTTCGGCGAGAAGTCCCCGTTAGGCTTCCTTAGGATTCTCACTCTCTCAGTATTCATCACTCTGTGAGTCTCCATTTTTCTCACCTCCGGTTGAAACTGAGCCTCCGGCTGATGCTGATGATGATTCGACATATCGTGCACCGCCTGTTCAGAATGTACATGAACCATCGGCGGCGGCGACTCCTCGACGACCACAACCGGCGGCGAGTACGAGCTTTCGTGAATTCTGTTCGCAAGCGGAAATCCAGGGACCTCGAAGACCCTACCTTCCTCGACCACCACAACCCCCGGACGCGGAGATCTCGGCTTCTCCGGCGGCGGATCCTCCTGAGGCGGGGGAGGCGGCGATTCCTCAACCAACTCATCGTAGTAATAAATCCTCAGTCCAATCTCGCCTTTGATCCAGCTGAACACGCTTTTCTTCTCCAGCTGGAAATACACCAATCCCTCGTCGCCGCGCCTGGAAAACTGGGTGCCGTAGAGCTTGACCCTGCCGAGGAAGTGGTTTTTACGGGCGGTGCCACTGGAGTTGCCGAAACGCTTGTCGTTGAGGACCTCGATCTCGAGCTCCTCATACTCCATGTGGTCGGGGTCGGAGACGACGAACTCGAGGGGCTCGTTCCAGGTGGGGTTGAGGGACTTGTACTTGGTGGAGGTGCGCTTGCGCTGGCCGTCGAAGTCGGCGACAACGTAGGGGCTGGAGCTGCCCTG